TAACGATCAAAAGAACACCCACACTCACCCACACACCCCACCCACACCCACACCCCAAAAATACAGAAAGAAAAAAAAGAAACATTGAGTAATATGCCTTTCATACTACGAAGAAAAAGAAAAAAGAACTCATTTTATCTGCAAGAACGAAAAAAAAAATTTCTTTCTTTTTCCTCGACTGAAGGGAGAGTCAGATGCAACAAAATGTGTTTGTATGCATATATGTGGGCGTCAAAGTAAAAGAAAAAAATCAGGTATCGAAGGTTCATACGCAGAGATCAATAATAATCGCAGCGACTTAAGACTAGTTAGAGCCAGTTAAAATGAATCATGTTTAGCTTGGACCAGTCAGTGTTACTTGAGTCTAGTTAATCCTAGTTAGCCCTAATTGGTTCTAATTAAAGCGAATGATTTTTTACTGAGCAAGGGCATTTCTAGAAAATATTGATTTTTTTCCCTAGAATGAATACAGGTTATATGAAATGAAGTAAGTTTTTTGTAGTTGATAATGGGACTGACTAATTACGAATAGCACGTCGTAGAGGTCTCATTAAATGATTAGTTGCTGGTTTGTAATATTCACAAGAGTTATTTCAAAGAACATCCGCAGAAAATCTCGTATATATTTCGAGAAACATCATTAAGATTTTGGTATTCAAAAATTTCAGTATAATGCGAATATTTTAGAAAGATCGTGAAAATCAAGTTATAATGGATAGCTACCGACGAAACCTGATCTTCGGTATTCTTATCGAAAATTGTTTTCTTGTGAACTCAACAACTTTCTGCGAATAGTCCGACCGCAGTCTGATAGTTAGTAGATAAAAAATGTTCAGCGTTGCTTTTAATAGGCTTAAATGTAGAACTCTTGTATTGCGTTTTAGTTGCATTATAGCAATATGTCATATCTTAACCTTTTCTTGCACGTAGCTAAATCTGATAGTTCAAAAGGACAATTCGCTCAATAACATTAACCTTATGTCCTGTAATATACAAAGGAAAAAATGTAATATATATTCAACAATTACCACTAAAGTAAGTTTCAATAAAAAAAAGGGTCTTTCTCTTATGGTGCGATAATAGTGTGTGCCATAACATGATGCGTTCAACAATGTCAAAAAAATGATTTTTATGATGAAGACTAGATTCTAATTGTTGATTTGAAGTCTACAATAGATAGCGTTTAATTTGACACAAAATCTATTTTTAAATGTCTTATGGTTCGCGAGAACTCAGTTTTTATAAAATGATTTCTAAACGAACCATAGTGCAAGAAAGCTTTTATTTGTTTTCTTACAAACTTATGTCTGCTACGATTCTTTATCCATTAGTGAAAAACTACAGACCACCAACTGCTTACATTCTTTAGTTATTTGCATAATAATAATCCATGTAAAATCTTCGCTATAACTTTTCACCAACAATGAATTCGCACTCGACAACCTCTCACCCACAAGAGAGTGATATTGAGTAAGAGAATCGATACGTTCTTCTTTTTGTTCGCTCTTGTGCACTCTTATGCTCTTTTACGTCGTCTTGATCACATGTACATGAATATATACAGAGTAGTATATAAGAATAAATCATCATTGATCGATCCATCACAATTACTAAAAGTCAAGTTAAACTTATTTTTCTTGTATAAACCAAGTTCTATGTGGTCAGCTTCAGGTACTTCACAAACTTCTAATCAATCATCCACTTTGGGTAGAATGGGTGGAACTGGTACTACTGGCCAATCAGGCGACCAAGGTATATCCACAACACAAGGTAGTGAAGGATCAACAAAGGCTGGTATGGGTGGTGGCAGTAGTGGACAACACAGTAACACTGGAGGTGGTCCAAGTAATTATCTCAATATAGTGATCGCTGATTTATAGGAGTGGATATTCTTATCATGTAGAAAACCACAAAAGGGTTTTTTATAAAGTAGAAATTTCGTAGAAAGATCACTAATTTGTGATAAAAATTGATTTCTTATTGCTTTTTTTTTAAAATTTTTTCAAGGCACTGGTGAAGTGGAATCGTCCAGTTCAAAGAACAGTTCAAGCAGTGGCAATGATTAACTCCGAGTACCATCACTAAATTCACACATCATACGAACTTCTTCTAAGTTTTCATCATTTTTTTATTTTGTCTTGTGTTTCAACTTAAACCTCAATAATTTGTTCAAATCACATAAATACATAAATCGATTCGTAATGTAGACTCTGCAGATCAACATATCAATACTCATGCAAGTTAAGATGCACAAAAAAACATCGATCACCCATAATATTGTCTTTTTCATCATATAAAATGAATTTTAATGTTTAAATATGATTATAATTAGTTCAATTTGATCCTTCTTTTCTATACACAACAAACAAATTATTTCAACTGAATAAAGGTATATTTTATTTTCTATATTTCACAATATTCTTTCGAAAAAGAAGAACTACGACGATGAGAGAAAATAAACTCGTTAACCTTTGCTCCGAAAATACATGAAGTAAAAAAACCTATTCACGATAGCTGATAGTCCTAAGTAAAAGTGTCCTTACTAAACTATACATTCATTTAAAAGATAGTTCGAAAAAAAGATACCACAAATTAATTTAAAATTCGTATATTTAGTATCCAATTATGAATAATAAATATATTCATATGTATTTATTATCATTGACTTAATTGAACAAGAGCGAACACTTTAAATTTAGTTTCGATAATTTTATTCGATGTATTTTATTTTGTTTCATATCATAAAGATATAAATTAGAGGATCAAATGAGACATAACTGTGATAAGTTAACTTATAGAGGATTATTGCTATTTCTATTTCAACATATTTATATTATCTGAGATGCATATGTTTACTTCTTTGTTCATTTCGATTGTATGACGTCGCTCATCATCTGTTTATGTGATCTATATAACGAGTGGTTGCTAATTTAGAAAAATATTCTTTAAAGGAAAGAAAAAAAAAGATCATTAAATAAATCGAGAATTTATGTAGCAATGTTTTTCTCTCCTTATGATAAATACTTCATATCACCATATAAGGGTAATTGTACCAATAAATTCAGCAAAATTTACTGAAGAATTTTGAATATTTCAAGAACATTCCTCTTTCTAAGTTAACTGCTGATAGTGATCTTTAAAAACAAAAGTGGTTGTTAATGTCCCCTTGGTCTATTTCTGAACGTTTAATTTTGGAATCAGATTGAGTTACGTTAGTATTGATCATTGAGGTTCTTATTTCATTATTTAGTGCGTTGTTCTAACAATCAATTACATACTATGACCTATCTACATTCTCATGCAAGTCTCTTCTTTCATATCCACATGCCACATATGAATGAGAATAGTACAAAATACAAAGAATCAAATTGAAAGAATTTTTTATTCAAATAAGAAGAGTGATGAATGCCATATTTGAAGCACACAACATAAAGCTAGAGTTTGATGGTATTAATATTAATAGAATTGTACAATACAAAGAAAAACGAAAAAAAATGTCCGATACTCCATAGTAAAAATAAGGCTTTTTCCATCATTGAACCACCTTGTCGAAAGATAGTTATTAAAAGTTCTCATGTGTTCGAAAGTATACTAAGGTCTTCTCATTTCGAACAGAATCACTATGTTGCTAATATTGATAATAGTGTTGAGAATCGATAAAAAGAAATATGCTAACGAGTAGGATCATGCTTTTTTTGTGGCTGAACAGATTTGATTGCAAAGTCTAACGACTCACCACCAGGACCGATCTGTGAAACTCTTGATGTTGCTCCAACCTGTGGTACTTGAAACCTTTTCAAGCGAGTATGGCTGATTATTGGTTCGATACGACGTCTATTAATGTACCTTTTCAAACAAAATATATGGCTAAGCATTTTTACTAGTTCATGGCGATATGTACGTGACGCCAATGTCTGCACAATGAATAAAGGAATAATATATGAGAAAAGAATTAGTTCGGCTACAAAGCCAGTAAATCGTTCGATAGACAGACGTTCAGGTGACTTATACACAGTATTGAGCGTGGCAGCGTTATAAAAGAAAAAACTCATTAGCGGTGTGTTTAGAATGACATAGATAAGTACTTGAATGAATAAAATCAGTAGAACTTGTTGATCACTAATGCGTTCTGACTGTGAGCTTACGTCTGTGGCTACAGTTTGACTTCTGAGCGCAATTTGACGGCGTTGTCTCTTCATACGCAGATTGCGATAAACTAATAGAGAACAAATAATCATGCATAACGGCGGAAGAAAACCACCGAATAAAGTAGTAAAAGTGCTATGATAAAATGCTGCAACAGTGTTATAGAAAATACCACATCCACCTGCTTTCAAGCCATAGAAAATTAGGATATGTACCGGTAGTACAATCCAGATAGGCACAATCACTGCTACAACACGATGTGCTACACGCACTGCAGCAAAATTACGAAGACGTGCGTTGGCTGATGACAATGCGTAGCGATCAAAACAAGCACCAACTAAACACCAACGGAATATCATGCCGATGGATTGAAGTACATACAGACGCAGTTTGCAAAAGACTGCAGAGTTAAGACTTGGGTCTGCATGGTTGAGTGTATACAGATTGAATCCAAGTCCCCAAGATAACGTAATTGTCCATGCGACATTGCATCCTAAAAAATCTGCATAAAAGGATAGATAATATAGATTAGGTTTAGTTTCTTTATGGATGGATATTCTTAAACATCTCTGTGATCCGTCTAGATAGTAGAGCATGATATTTAATCAAAGCACACAGTACGTAAAAATTTCTTTTTAGGTAACATTATAATTTCAAATGACATCAATAGAAAGTTTTATGTAAAATTAAAGCGCATCGAACATAGGAGTGCCACACTTATCACTTACCAGATAAGTGGTAAGTGTTATCATCATCGAATAATTATCGATATAACACTACCAATAATAAGTAGAATATGACACCCCTAGCCGAAAGTAGAATTCATGAATATTCAATAGAAAATGTTCGATTAATTTTATACTGTGGACTTCAGTAGATTCATAAAATGGTACATGATATCAACTGAAAAAAATTCATTTCATCAGACACAGTAAATTGGATTTCACCTAAAATGATGAACATGATAAAGTAATATTGTTTTCTTAGCGTTTGATAAACACAGTCAATAATCAGTAGAACAACTATTAACGATTTTATGGCAAAAAGATGAGACAGACACAAGCATATTAATGTTATTTGAAATTACAGCGTTATTTTCTGACCAAATAGTTTTACGTACCTCTTCGTGTTGATTTTTTTGTAAGTAGCGAAAAAAATCACTTACATGTGCTGCAGGACACTGAACGAAATCGCTGTCGAGAAAATAGCCCAATATTGAGAAAGCAGCAGAGCAAACCCAAAGCTAGATAAGTTGACTCAACATAACGAATCATTTGTCGTTGAATGTTGAGCAAGATGCTGCTCAGCGATGAACTTGTGGATGACATTTAGTCTATTGATAATCGATCAGTTAGTGAACAATCGTGAATCAGCGCAAGATTGGTCTATATTAAATAGACGTTACTGTAATGGCTTACTGTATAGAATAAATTCTTAAAAGAAAAAAAAACATTCTACACAACTGATAGATTTTGTGAAATTTTGCTATTTTTGTTCATTGAGGAATTTAGTGTCTATGAGTAAGAAAGGAATATGCTAAAACTATTTTTTAAGGATCATGATCGAATTCTTTCATGTGACACGTAGTTAATGAGAAAAAAGTATGTTCGTCTGTATGTTCTACTTCAATTAGTCATAGTAAAATACTAAATTTTCCTTAGTCTTCATCTCTGGAAAAGAACGCTACTGTTTTGTCTGATAACCGAGCATTTTTCTGAACTCATCATATAAACATAAATTCAAAAGACTTGCAAATTACTTATTCAAATTTCAGAAGATTTTGAACTTCCAATTTCCAGCGAGTTTTTTGTCTTAAGCGAAGTGTCTCTATCTGTCATAAACCTAGAGTCTGTTAAATGTTTATACCATGTTTTCTCGTTTTCATATACTTTCATGGAAAGTCTTCTATGTATAGGTTGGTTAGTCATAGCTCTGCGATAGCATGAAATGATAAAATGATCTATTCCAGCAAAGAAAAAAACATTATCTATAATAAATAGTGATGTTGAAAAGAAGTAGAACGTAGATAAGAGAATACTACTTATAAAATTGCTACCATGAAGATCTTTTGATCTCTATTAAATAACACATTTCACAGTGTATGCTTTAAAAGACAAAAGTAAATTAATCAGTGAATACTTATAATTTACAAACTATTATTATCTCTCAATGAATATGTTCGTTATCTTATTTCACATTGTATTTATAAATGTAGGTTTTTTTTCATTTTTTTAATATTATATTCCTGACGATGACGGGTATCACCTGTCAAACGCTTGAATAAATAAATGTGTTTTTTCATAACAATCAAAGCCCGTTCTTCGCAGTAGTTTTATACTCAATATTGCTTCGTCTACAATCTACTTCTCTTCAACCTCAATATGTATCTAACACAAGTACCAAGTATGACGATATAATCTTGTTAAGGACCAGAAAAATGGAAAAACTATCTATTAAAGTACAAAACTAGAAATATGATGTAGAATGTATTCGAATACATAAATTAACACCGACCCTGTCGAGATTTCGTTATGGAAGGAAAGGAAAAAAGCAATCAATTAGGATAGATATTTTTGATATTTTTGTCTCCGAATTGAACGATCTATTGAATAACCTTAACTTAACAATGAAGGGACGAAATTTTCCATCAATTACAGAAAATATGTATATGCATGATCTAAGAAAGCTAGAGAAAAATAGTGATGAAACTTCATAAAACATTAAATGTATTATCCATTCAACCGTTATTCACGGTTATATTTGTCAAAAATAATTTTTACGATAAAGACGAAGACTACCATTCCTTAGTCCTCTTTTGTTAAAAAAAAAGCTTCTGTTTTTTTTATAAAAAAAAAAGAAAATATACTTCCTCGCAAAAGTTTATATTATCTTTAAATACCGGAAAAATCATAAAAAATAT